TTACGGGCATTGAGCAACGTTTGTAGTTTCGTTTTCAGCAGTCGCCTCAGCGGCTTTCTGCTTTGCTTTCAACTCTCGGATCGAAGCGTTTCTTTCTTTTTGACCTTGTTCCCGGATCACCGACAGCTGGTCTCTTGTGCGTTGCACAGTCTTTCCGCCGGTCCGCGTCGGCCTGGCCATGCAGCTAGGCTCGGTTGCGGCATGCGGCCCATGGCAATTGATGCACCTTGGGACGAGCTGTTTGCACTCAGTAGCCTTGTGCTCAATCGATCCACAGCGAGAGCAGCGCTCTGCTCGTGAACAGATCTTAGTTGGGTGGTGTCCCCAGCATCGGTTGCATTGCGCAATTTGGGCTTTACGCTGAAGTTCGTTTAAGCGACCGCTCTCTTCGAAAAGTCTTTCTCCCAGCTTTGGCTTGCCGGTTGCAAAATGCAACACCCAGTCGGTTGACGGCCTAGCCATGCTTGTTGCAAAGGCACGAGCCGAGGTCGGTCTAACGCCTGTCTTTAAGGTCGCTTCCTCCATTACCATCTCCGATGTTACTGGCGTTGGTCCTTCTAAAGTGAAGAGTCTGTCTGGTACATTAGGCGCCAACACTGAGATCCAATTGGAAGCAGCTTCCAGTTTCATTTCCGTGCTCTCCAGGAGTACGGCGCCTGAGAGGAGCGCGTTTCTTGCTCCGTCTCCTTCAGCTAGTATCGCAAACCCTGAGTTGACGATGGTAACCTGCTTAATTTCAGAGTTAGCTTAGCGCAGCTTGCTTGCGAGGCTCATTTTGATGTAATGCGACATGCGTCTCCATGGGTGGTCGGGCTTGACCCGCAGGAAAACACGCTCGTCTGGGCGAGCTAACTTGGGAGCTGAGGCAGTAGGCCTCGGAGTTTGTGTGGGCCCTGTCGCTTTTGACTTAGGCTCGCTTGCTGGTTGCGATTTTGTCGCTGCTGGTGGTGCGGCCTTAGTCTTTTTCCTCACTACCTGAGTCCAAGACCCCTCAGTAACGATGGGGGTTTGTATAGAATCGATGTCGATTGGCCTAGTAGGCTTTGTCGAAGCCGGCTCTTTGCCTTTCGCCTGGCTGCTTTCTCTCGTGAGTATTTGCACTGGTCGTGAAGTGCTCGCGCTATTCTTTCCTCCCGACCTAGTAGCCGACGTAGGGAGGGTTGTCGTCTTGCTGCTACTGGCAGCCTCTGATGGCCCACTGGATTGGGGCTCGGGGTTTCCGCGCAGGATGTTTGTGATAGTGGCCTGTAAAGCCTCTCCATTCTTTTCGACAGCTCGTCGGAGCTGTTTGTCGGTTGTGGCCGCCAGTAGGTTAATGTACCCACTGACGATACGCTCAGCCTCTGCAAAGCGTATGTTAAACGCCCTCGCTTCATCTGCGAGGAAGTTAGTCAAGGAAGCACCCATTGACTCGGGGGGGTTTGGGGGCGAGTATTGGCAGCTCGCCTCGCAGATCGGTTCTGCGTTTGCTTGTGTGTTGTTGTGGTGGTGGCTAGGTGGCCCTGTGAGGACCATTTCGACGTCAGGACGCGTCGAATTTACGGGTGGGAGAGGGGGCCAAGAGCCAGCCTCTGCGGAGGACTGGGGCGGCATGGCAAGGAGCAAATCAGAGAAAGTTGAACAGTAGATAATCGCGTGTCTGGCGCGTCGAGACAGTTCTTTTGGGGGGTTTCTGTAAAAACTTGTTGTGTTCATGATTTTACTGTGTGTATCGACCATCGTTGGCTTGTGTTTATAGTATCAGCTGCACTCTGGCAAGCGAAGTCTTGGCGCGCACAAAGCTCAATTTGTAAAAAACTCTTGGCCAAAATTCGAAATTTCACGCCCGTCGAAAACGTATCCCTCTTCTGCATCATCTTATAAACTTGTCCTGATCCCTCTCATGTCCATCCCAAAGAGCTATCTGCCAGATTTGTGCTCCACGCTTTGCTTCCTCCATCGGGTATAAATGTCGACATGGGCTTATATTTGGTGATCGGCTGAGGCTAGAGAAGGTCGAAGAGTGGTGCGGTCATTGGAATGAGGATGTACTTTGTCGTACCAGTAGACTTGATGAGGCTTAGATAGGAATTAATCTCGTTAGGAGTGAAAGGTTGATGAAGTGGAGTTTTCTGAATTATTGCCTCGTGGGCTAACTTGTTCGGTGTTGCGAAATTTGACTGAACTTGGCTCTGGGAGAATATTTCACTCCCAGGTTCGCAGAAGGCACCACGTACAGGTGTTCAGTCTTGCCCTCCCCCTGCAGATTTGCACAAGTGGCTTTCAACATACCTTTGTATTTTCATGTACAAAAGTTTGGAGTCTATCTTGCTATTTGAGCCTTGGACTATCCAGCACATTAAGTTTCTCTCTGACCCAGGCCACACTTCATACAGTATTCCTATCCTCTTATGTCATTCGAAAGATTTTTGATATATTGCCCGTGATGGATAACCATTTAGATCATCATTGATCTGCGGAATTCCGCGACATTTATAGAGAAATCTTTTCACCCATTATAAGTAAAAACGGTAACCGTGGAAACTGGTTCTAAGGGAAATAGGCCTCAGAGTATCTGCAGTCCAAACCAGGCAATGTCAAGAAGCCAAAGCTTCATTGGGTGCGCATATCCGTCTACATCTCCCTCCTTTGCAACAATGGAAGCCAACTTTATCGCATCAACCATTGCCATAGAGAGAGCTAAATATGCTTCTGAAACTCATCGGATGGTTTACCCTCCATGACCAAGAAAATTGGATGTTGAACGGAGCTCCGATCCTATCATCTGATCACATGATGGTAAGATTCATGATAATAGTGTTAGTATTATAAATATAACCCACTACTTAGTTCATGGACTTACTGGTAGAGGAAAGCTTATGCAACCATGACGGATAAAAGGATGTCAATTCGACTACTCTTCCAAACACAGGTACCAGACTCTGTTTAATCCAATAGATAGCCCGTGCAGGATCTCCTATTAACAGCAGTAAACATCGCTAGCATAGGGGAGGGCAAGACTGAACACCTGTACGCGGTATCTTCTACGAACCTGGGAGTGAAATATTCTCCCAGAGCCAAGTTCAGTCAAATTCCGCAATATCAAAGAAGTAGGCCCACGAGGCAAAAATTCAAATTACTCCACCATGTCAATCTTTCACTCCCAAAGAGTCCGATTCTCGACTAAACTTCATCAAGTCTACAAGTACGACCAAGTACATCCTCATCCCAAGGACCACATCACTCTTTGACCTTCTCTAGCCTCAGCCGGTCACCAAATACAAGCCCATGTCGACATTTACACCCGACTGAGGAATCAAAGCGTGGTGTACAAACCTAGGAAACTGTTCTTTTGGATGGACGTGAGAGGAATCAGGACAAGTTTAAAAGATGATGCAGAAGAGGGATACGTTTTCGACGGGCGTGAAATTCCGAATTTTGGCCAAGAGTTTTTACAAATTGAGATTTGTGCGCGCGCCAACCCTTCGATTCCGAGAGTATAGGCGACACTATAAACATCGTCATGGTTGGATGGTGCTGAGGTACATCGTCTTGGCCGGTCTGCCAAGTAAGGTCTGGATAGCTAGTACATATATCCCTCTCGAGACAGGAGACCGCTGGTTCGAATCCGGCAAAGCACAATCACTTTTCTCGCAGCATTGGTATACATGGATGACGAAGGCATGCTTAGATAATCAGAGGTTTTGAATTTCCCTTTGGTAGGAACCTACGGAGGAGGGTCGACTGTTTTTGTAAGCAAGCATACCTCATAGTAGTATTTGCAACTGGAATCCAGACTATGAGCGTCTCTGACGTTAAAAGAATCATCCTACATGTATACATAGCACCGGTCATGTGTCATAGCTAAATAGCTGAATATATATTAAATTGATTTAAAAAAAAGCTAGTACAGGATATTCGCACACTCTGTTCGCCAAACACTAGTCGATCAGGACTACTAATCATCAAGCCTAGCAGGATCGACGGAGTCCAGCTAGACACAGAAATAATAGAAAACTCAACAACCAAACCCTTCATCAATAACTACCATCAGCCATCATCTGACTTATCTCTGTACTCCATGATTTCAACAGTTAGGGGGATGTGTCGGGTAACCGGGGGCCTGATCTGTTATAGGCGAAGTACATGTAATCGAAGGAGAAGATAACTCAGTAAAACAACTTAATTCCTATTTATTCCGGAATTCTAGGACTGTAGACACTGATCATGATTGAGTTGATCTTTTGACTTCTAAATATGGACATGCGCTGGGAGTACATTACCTGCGGTTCTAAATACAGAATACAAGCACTGACCGAAGCAAACAACCCACTCACGTATGGATAGACCCTATTTTGGACCCGTGACAATTCCCTGTCAAGCCTTCATGATTGTTCTCAGCGTTCGTCAAGATATACCGAAAGATGCAGACGACACAGACCGCTATAGCAACGAGGAATCCTCGTCGAACTGAGGACTTTGTTACCCAATCTCGGCTCTGCAGATTATGCACTGAGAGCCGGAGAGATGTAGGAGTCACCACTGACAGGCGATGAGTCTATTCTCCATACAGATCGGGAGTATGTATAAGTTGGATAACGTCCTCTCTCCTGTGCCTCTTCCACGGCTTCTTTCAAGCAGAAATGCCACCACAGATCTTCACCTGAGCACTCGCCTGGCATTGGATAAGCTTCTAGCGACTTGATTTACCTGGTTAAATGAGGGAATTAAACTTAGCTCAATGAGAAATTAGTAAAAGGGAAGTGTAAAACCTTGAACAACTCTTTGATAATAGAGATAAATAGTTTTGAAGATAGATATTTTATTTGAATTATAGGGGTGTTCACGTTTATCGAGGCAACATGTCACTAGTCATGACCTCGCCATAATATTTGCAGTTCGGTGCCATGTTGACAGCACTTGACATTCTTTTAGCTATAAATGCTGGATTCTTCGAAGGTTTAAAATATAAGATTACAAAATGTCTGCACTACATTAAGCCCTTACATGAGCAAAATTTATCAAATTGACTTTCTCGAATAAGCTAAGTATGATTTCCAAGGTAATAGCCAGTCTCGAGCACGCATCTCTTCTCGAAATATGTTGAAGTCAAGTTTTTCGAGCTTCTCAAGCCAGAGGCGCGTTGGAACAGCATGCATCAATAAGCCAAAGCTTCTTTCAATATCAGAAACGTGCAAACTGGCATTTTTATGAGGCTCATCATTCCTAAAATTGATATCGTCCCCATGATTATGTCCGTGCTCGATGCCATGGCCTCTTTGAAGATTTTTAATCATCTCCCTTGCTGTGATCAAATGATCATTTGCTCGAGTAGCCACAATAAACACAGCATCTTTTAACCCTGGAGCTTGACTAGCTTGTCGAAATATATCTTCTTCCTTAACACCTGCCTCTGCCATAACATCTAGCGGTAAGACAATTGTTCCTTGGCGCCGATTGGCTCCTTCTACAGCTGTCGCTGAAGGTGAGAAGCTCTTGCTGTGATGATTTGGTGGCGGCGGAAATGCGATTAGTGGTAAGCCTCTAAGCACAGCTGTAATACCAATAGCTTTACCAATATGGCTCGCAATGTGATCGATAGCCACCGAATGCATTGGTAGGGCAGCTAAGCTTAAATACAATAGAGTTGAATATGTATTTTCGGAGTATACCTCCAACGCATCTAGACTGGGGTAAGATCTATTGTCCATGTAAAGCTCCCTTGCATCGATAACTTTTAGAAACCATGCCTTCATCATATTGGTACTTGAATCTGGATGACGTTCTCGAAGAGAGTGTAGGGCATGATGTAGAAGTATTGCGACTGGCTCTCTCGGTGGTGCATTTGAAAAAGTTTGAGTTATGTTGTCGCGCCAGAATTGCATTCGCAGACTACCAATTGCGCGGTTAGACACGAGGTCTGGTATTCTAGCAAGCTCAATATTGAATGCCCGGATGGAAAGATAGGCATCCCTAACAGAGCGCGGGACAAAGGTCTGAAGGGTATATGATGGTGAATCAAACTTTCTGTCCCATCTTAGCAAAATATCTTGCACATTTGCACACATACTAACTTCAGAAGGTTTGAGCAGTAAGAGCGGGCTACATATACATCCTCACTAGTAATTTGAGGTGAATAGAAGGTAGTTGTACTGTAGGGAACGAAGTGACGTCTGTTCTTCGATATTGACCGTAAACTTTGTCGACTGAAGAGTTGCGGCTTGTTCCTGCTACAATACATTACTTAACAGGTGTATACTAATCGACAGCATTGATGTTAAAATGGCGATGTCATGGAGAAACAGACGACTGTCCAAAAGAACTGCAGATTGGCATTAGTATTCGGTCAACGTATAGTTGGGATCAACCAAAGATAAGTTGATCTAGTAAGGGGTTGGGTTGATGTTTTTGATGTGATAGTGTAGACCATATATCTTTCAAGCTCGATACTAATTGACGAGCCTCAAGGGTCCATTGCTACCTTCAACATAGGCAACAGTGTGGGGATAAATATAAGGATGTGCCTGCGATGTTCTCTACGAACCTTTACGGAAACGTACTCCCTTTGCCGAGTTAAGCCAAATTCGCAATACACGAGAAGATGGCTCACGGGGCAATGATTCAAGACTGTAAATCAAATCAATCTTTCACTCCCAACAAGGCCAACTGTGTCAAAAGCCTCAAATAATCCCCAGTTACTATCCAGAAAATTCTTAGATCAACAACTACACTTCTTGTCAACTCAGCAACTGGCCTTAGCTTGACACCAATTAGATTAGATTATATTTGTGTTATAGTCCTAACTCAGTCGCTGATCATGGACGGCTCTTAGAATTTACATGTGAGATACTAGCTACATTTTTCATATTTCAATTTGACAACCTCCAATTTTGCTCTCATTGACAGTGAGGGTCAAGTCACCAATTACACGCTCGCGACAATATGAATACCTGCAGAGGAAAAATATTGTAGCGCACAAATCAGTGATGGGGACCGTCGGAATGGAAGTGAAAGATGTTATAATAGGTATACAAGGTAATGCTGAAGATGGATACAACCTAGAAAGAGCTAGATCTCAGTGTTTAGTAATGAGTCTTCCAAACCAAAGAGTGTTGTGCACGTCATGATATCGTCTGCGAGAACCAGTGTACATTGTAAACAACTTCATGACTGGATGGTGCAGTGGTACACTATCCGAGCTAGTCTTTCCATTAGAGACTGAGAAAATTGGATGTCAATTCTATTTGCAACAGAAGATAGCTGGTTTAAAAATAAAAAAGCTCAACCAAATTTCTCAGGGTACGCGCATACGGGACAACGGAGGCATGTTTGGATAACCAGCAACTCTGAAACTGTTCGTTGTTGGGCAACCAAGAGCATTGGTAGATTTTGCTATGAGAACAAAAACAATTCAGTGGTATTTGCGAGTTAAATTCAGGGCACAAATACCTATGAAACAAAAATTTCACTTGTTATATGTACAAACACTGGCCTTATGTCATGGCTGAATATCCGAATCTAAATCAAATGAAAAATAGATAATTTATGATATTCATAAAATTATCAAAAATAAAATAGGAGAAACACCCAATACCTATCAGAAGTGTACTAACAGTCCCCAGCTCGTACCGTAGAGTCTGCAGAGCCGAGATTGAGTTCAATACTGGTCAGGAGGGCTTCCATTGTCATCGAGTCTTTAGCATTCTTTTAAAAGATATACTTTGCAAGATATTAAAATGATAAAATTAGAAATTATATCGCGTGTCCTAATAACTATTGGAACGTTGGACTCGTGTAAAATCAGTGAGATAGATCTCAACTAGTCTCGCGATTATATCATAAAAAGTAATGGCAACGCATCTCTCATGAACCACGTTGAGATACCGTAAATCTCAGTACGTGAATATTCAGGTGTACGCGCGAAATCAGGTGTGGTTAGCGCATTTGAAACAGATTTAGATAGGATAAATCTTGTTGAAAACCTCGGACGATATAAATAGCGAGTGAGATTCTAACTCGCGAGTATGAATATTCAACACATTTGCCATCGATAAAGAAGGTAACAAGTTGGGCTAAGCTACTTCACAACGTGGAATTTCTTTCAAAACTTTTCAAGTATTTCGAGCGGCATCCCCGTGGGACTTGACATCTGTTAGTGGTGTCCCCTACGAGCCTCCAGCGCTCACTGTAGAGTCTGCAGAACCGAGATTGAGTAACAAAGTCCTCACTTCGACAAGGATTCCCAATCGCTTTCGCCGTCTGTATCGTCTTCATCTTTCAACACATCCCCCCTATCACCATTATCATGAAGCTAACCACGATCAGATCAGATGGTAGGGTCGAAGCCCTACTCATCACCAACCCTTGATCATGGAGGAAATGCCATCCGACGAGTTTCCGGAGCGTACCCAGCACCCGATACGGAGATGGTGGATTGGATCAAGTCGACCTCAACTGTTACAAAGAAGGGAGATATAGATGAATATGCGCACCTCATGTGGTCCTGGTGTCTAGGCCTCGCCTGGCTGGGGCTGCAGGTTTTTTGAGACTTTTTCCCGCGCACGCAGTTTCCATTGCTACTATTTTGATTTTTTTGGGTAGAAGGTTCCGTGGAAAAGGTGGCTGAATTCCACGGGTAAATACTGAGCTGAATGGCTATTCATCAAGGGGAAAATATCAATAATCTTTAAGTAACAAAAGAGGATAGGAGCACTGTACAAGGTGTGGCCTGGGTCAGAGAGGAGCCCAATGTGCTAGATAGTCATAGACTCAAGTAGTACAATAAAACACACACACATACGAGCCTCCAGCTCTTGCCATGGAGTCTGCAGAGCCGAGATTGAGTAAGAAAATGTTGGAAATGGAGACACGGAGTGTTGTGGACGTACGGGCCCTCCGTTTTGTCTAGGTTCCCGACACGATCTTGCGTGTATGTAAGAGGTTGGAATAGGTGATATGGTAGCGCTTCAGGCTACCTATTGGAGACATGAGCGGCTGTATGGCGTGGGCGCAAGGAGATTATTGGGGGTTTTCTATGCCTAGGTGGCGCCACACTCGTTTATGCTGTGGCTTAGGCTCTGTGTCGCTTACTCTTGTACTTGTAGCGCACACTTCCCACATTTCTACGACCGGCGCGATTCCAATTCAGGTCCGACCTCATGGGACATGTCGACCTGGGGCACCGTATCAAAACTGGCATGCCCTTTTCACGCGGGACAACGCCCCTCGTGCGGGCTTCCGCCTCTTCGGCGAGTCTGGTATGGCAACCATTCACAAGCCTCGTCGCCAAATTGAACAGTGTAAACGCTGTTTGGGCTTCCACGCCACTCGTGGTTGCTCCCGCGCTCCAGCCTGCTGGAACTGCGGCTCCTACATGCACTCGGAAGCCGAGTGCAAGGCCCTCACTAAGTGTCGCAACTGTGGGGGACCCCACCGATCGGATTCTCGGGACTGCAAAGTCAGACCCAGAAAGTCTGGGCCGGTGACAAAAGAGCAGCTCGCATGGATACGCCACCTCGAGCAAGGGAAGTTCGCGGAGGCGGCTCGAGCTAGGGCTGCAGCCAAAAAGGCCGAAGAGGCGATCGTCGCCGCGGCGAAGGATGTCGCAATGGCTGAGGCAACAGGTTTCGGAGTGCTGGGATCTGAAGAAGAAGTTTGAGGACACAGCAACCTCGACGATGTCCCCTTCTGGGGCATCCACTAACAATTAGCAGGATACCGGCTGGATCAAAGGTGCCTGCTAACTCATCTCTTGCTCTCAGCGGAGATTGAATAAATTTTGTCATTTGGAAGGTGTGACGGACGAGAGAATGTGTGAGGAGCACATTGACTGGGTCCAACATGGAGGAATCTTCTGGTTTTTTCGGAGTTGTTTTGATTTTCTTGATTTTTCGTCTCTGTTCAATCAGCTGCACTTTTAGTAGCGATTCACGAGGTTGGAACGATTTAGGCTGTAGGAAAGATTACAGGGAACCCTGCCGGCTCCGCCTGTCCTTGACCCAATGTGGAAAACATAGCTTTAGCTTAGGACAAAAAAAAAAAAAAACTTCCCACATTTCTAGCCGAAATTCGAACATGTCACTCTGTTAGTTAACTACTACTTTAGTTCCGTGAATATTGCGCCCATTCCATTGCGCAATATTTTCAACACAAAATCCTCACTTCGACGAGGATTCCCAATCGCTTTCGCCGTCTGTATCGTCTTCATCTCTCAACACATTCCCCTATCACCATTATCAGGAAGCTAACCTCGATCAGATCAGGTGGTAGGGTCGAAGCCCTACTCATCACCAACCCTTGATCATGGAGGAAATGCCATCCGACGAGTTTCCGGAGCGTACCCAGCACCCGATACGGCGATGAAGGATTGGATCAAGTTAGTCAAATGTCACAAAGGAGTGAGATAGAGGTGGATATGCGCACCTCGTATGGTTCCGGTGTCTAGGCCCCGCCTAGCTGGGGCTGCAGGTTTCTTGAGACATTTTCCCGCGCACTCAGTTTCCATTGCTACCATTTTTTTGGGTAGAAGGTTCCGTGGAAAAGGTAGCCGAATTCCACGGGTAAATACCGAGCTGAATGGCTATTCATCAAGAGGAATATATCAATGTTCTTCCAAGAATATGAGAAGTAAGGAGCACTGTACAAGGTGTGGCCTAGGTAAAAGAAGAGCCCAATGTGCTTGCCAGTCATTGACTCAAGTAGTACAAATAAACAAAAAAAAAGTACATGAGATCATTCGAGTGTCTTCTTCAATGCCCCCTTGTGCGCAATTAGCAAGTTCCATATCCCTATTGTTGATCTACATATTGCCTGTGAACTGTACCCCAGTTCAATAGACTTTCGTCTGCTCACAGTTTCGGTTTATTGTCCAACGTTTATCTATCACAAATCCTAAGTAGGACATAAGATGCCAAAGCTTACTTCCTTGTGTGCCTGAGGCCTTTGACTGTCCAAACCTAAATTAACCTTGTATAGAGTGATGTGTTGATGCGGTAGACAGTCTTGGATCATTACCACGTCGGCCAACCTGATTTTACGAGGCTAGACTGAACTTGTCTCTGGGTTTATATTTCACTCATATCTTAGGAGTGAACATTGATAATATTTCTGCAGTTTCTTTGCACTAAGGAAGGATTCGTTGCAGCTCGGAGTAGGTTATTCCGAAGCCTGAACGCGTCTGGTTTCAGATTGGGGGAGTGCTTCCAGCCAGCCATAAAGAAGTACAGGAATGCTATGGCCGATTGATTTGTTCAATAGAAATTTAACTCGCATGGGCATTTGATTGAGATTGTCATGGAGGAGAATATTAATGGGGAGATGATGATTCTTGCAGCACGCGTCAACGGTGGAGAGTTCGAGGCTTAGCCTCGTCACCTCGGGTAGCTTCGGACGCGTGCAGGTTCATGTCACCCCCGACATCTGACCACACGAAAAATCACATAGACACGCGTTTTAATTTAACAAACGTTATGCGAACTAAGGTAATTACCAACTGATACTTTTTTCAATGATTAAAATGGCATTCACAGTCCTCGTTCCATCAACATGAATCTTGCTGATTCCGAAGGCCCACCCCCCAAAAAACGACGATGTTTCTTCAGCGAAAACCCGCAAAGAATATCCAATACTCAGTCTTCATACTTCGTCGATGATGGAGATAACTCAAGTATTATTACAGTAGAGGAGAGGATAGATAGTAAAGGATGTCAAGAATATCACCTTTCTCAGAATGACCATGTTAGAGATGACGTGGAACAGAAATTCGAACAGGAGACATTCGAAAGTTTCGTGGGGGACAAAGTAGCCCCGAATGTGATGCAAGTTCTATGGGATTCTTGTGGCAATGATATAGAAAAAGCGGTAAACATGTACTTAGACGGCTCATGGAATAAGTCAATGTCAATAGCAGCAACAAATAATTCAGAATCTGACCAGAAGATCTTAAATAATATACCTAAGAACACAAAAACTTGTAATCAACAAGTAGGTTCAATTCCACCACCTGTGTCTAGGTTAATATCAGAATGCCGCTATATTGGTGCATTTGGGTGTGAAGGCTGGGCAACTAGAAGTGGGACGGGACTTATCAAGCATGGAGACATTGTCCAAATTGAGAGACAAAAAATACAGCCATCCAAGGTTTCAGCTAGCAAGTCTAAGGGGAGAATAGCTTCAGCCATAGCAGCTCCCAGACTTAACTTCGCTAATTCTAAAAGAATTGATGTTCTTGTACGGTTCACAAACACTAAGGGCGATGAGATCGGTCGAATATCTCAAAATTATGCCGATTGGATCTCTACTTTAATAGATCAAAAGATTTGTAAATTTGAAGGAATATGTTTCTACGCTCCAGAAAAGCTGAGATCTGGAGATACGCTATTTCTGCAGCTACGCTGCTCATTACTCCGAACAGCATTCGAAAGTACGAAGTTTAGCTTAACGAAATTCTCTGGCCTAGCTGTAGCAGATGAAAGAGAAGGTCTCGAAGAAAAGCAATTGCGGCAGAAACAATTCGCTCTTGTTAGATTATTTAAAGAGATAAACCTAATGCCATCCCAGGCATCTGGAATGTCTGAGAAACGCAAGCAAGAAGGACTTCTTAATGGATCAGAGGTTGTCGAACGACATGAGAAAATTGAGTCTGACGTTCTGACAAGCTCTGATGATCACGGACAAACTGCGGAAGCCGAAGAAGATGAAGATGGAAAAGAACTCGAAAAAGACCAACTTGATACGTTATATAAAAAGGCTCAGTTCATTGACTTTGATGCGGAAGCAGCTGAACCAGCAAACTCATTTGTCTTGACTTTAAGACATTATCAGAAGCAAGCCTTACATTGGATGATATCAAAAGAAAAGAATAAGCAGGACGCAAATAGAGAAATTTCAATGCACCCTCTCTGGGAGGAATATACATGGCCGGAGAAAGATCTTGATGACTTAGATTTGCCCACAATGTCCGATCAAAGGAAATTTTACGTCAATCCATATTCCGGTGAGCTATCCCTTGATTTTCCAGTGCAAGACCAGCATTGTCTCGGGGGCATTCTAGCAGATGAGATGGGCTTAGGCAAAACCATCGAAACGATGAGCCTGATACATTCTCATCAGCCAGAAATAATCACAACTCAGGAGAAATTGACACCAAAGGCTGGTAATTTTCTTTCGCAAATGTCTATTAGTCCTAAATTGACGAAGATTGCACCATTTACAACCTTGGTTATCGCACCAATGTCGCTTTTAGCTCAATGGCAAAGCGAAGCTGAGTTGGCCTCAAAAGAAGGAACAATGAAGGTCATGGTCTACTATGGAAATGATAAAATAGCAAACTCAAATATCCTTTCTTACGCAATGAATGCTTCATCATTTCCCAACATGATAATTACAAGCTATGGAGTTGTTCTTTCCGAATTTAGCCAAATTGCGGCAAAGAGCGCTGATCGATGCACGAACCTGTGTTTATTCTCGTTGAAATATTTCCGCGTCATTTTGGATGAAGCGCACTACATTAAGAACCGTCAGAGCAAAACAGCTAAGGCATGCTGCTCAATTGAAGCAGAACATCGTTGGGCTCTGACTGGGACACCAATTGTTAATCGCTTAGAGGATTTATTTAGCCTCGTTCGATTCCTCCGTGTCGAACCATGGTCTAATTATTCCTTTTGGCGCACATTTATCACAGTGCCCTTTGAATCTAAGGATTTTGTACGTGCACTTGATGTAGTTCAGACAGTATTGGAACCGCTAGTACTCCGAAGGACTAAGGATATGAAGACACCATCTGGTGAATCTCTTGTTCCTCTACCCCTCAAAATAATTAATATTGTCAATATTGAACTATCAAAGCCGGAAAGAGAGGTTTACAATCACATCTTAACTCGAGCTAAACGAACATTTGAAGCTAACATGGAAGCCGGTACTGTCCTCAAAGCTTACAATAGTATTTTTACACAAATATTGCGTCTACGTCAATCTTGTTGCCACCCAGTCCTAACTCGCAATAAAAATATTGTAGCCGAAGAGGAAGAGAGTGCCGAGGTTAATGACAATGCCAGTGGATTAGCTGATGACATGGATTTACAGTCACTGATAGAGCGATTTACGGCAGAGACTGATGATCCAGCTGACACAAACACTTTCGGAGCCCATATCCTCCAGCAGATACAGAACGATGATGAAAGCGAATGTCCTATCTGTTCAGAAGAGCCCATGATAGACCGAACTGTTACGAGCTGCTGGCATTCAGCTTGCAAAAAGTGTTTACTTTCCTACATAGATCATCAAATTGAAAGGCAAGAGACGCCTCGCTGTGTAAGTTGTCGTGAAGTTCTTAATACTCGCGACTTATTCGAGGTAATACGGGATCTGCATGATGGACTGCCCAAAGTTTCTCTTCAACGATTAGGTTCCACCTCTGCTAAGATTGGAGCCTTAATAACCCACCTCAGACGTCAAAGAGGAGAAGCACCTGGTACAAAGTCAGTTGTATTCAGCCAGTTCACCTCTTTTCTATCGCTCATAGAACCAGCACTTGGTAGAGCTGATATTCCATTTATACGACTTGATGGGTCTATGTCGCAAAAGACACGAGCCACTGTTCTTTCCGAATACGCTTCGAGTGAAAAGGGAGAGGTTTTGCTGATAAGCTTACGCGCTGGTGGAGTTGGACTAAATCTAACCATGGCAAAAAGGGTTTACATGATGGATCCATGGTGGAGTTTCGCAGTCGAGGCCCAAGCTATTGATCGCGTTCATCGTATGGGACAGACTGATGAGGTCAAAGTTTATCGGTTTATTGTTCAGGATAGTGTGGAAGAACGTATGTTGAAGATTCAAACCCGAAAGAAGTTTATGTGAGTAAACCCTCCGGAGCATATGAACCAACACTAAGCTAGAAAAGTGCAAGTTCGTTGGGAATGATAAATGATGAAGAGAAAAAGTTGCAACGTCTTGAGGACATTAAAGAATTGTTGTCATAAAACTGAGGCTTAATTTTCAACTAGGAAAATAATTTATTATCATGAGCCTAATACTAATATTTTTAATGGATTTCTACATACATCACTGACGTCAAGTACATAAGGACCCTAGATCGACATTTTGTTACCTCGAACCTGCACTTGATCTTCACCAGATTTCAGTATCAAAAATACATTTTGATCCAGTAGCTACTTCATATTATCAAAAAATATAAAAATATTTTTATCTTCATAGAACGAAAATGATTAATAGCAGAGGTATTAGGTTTAGTCAGTCACCAGCGAGATAAAAAATTTTGGGGCTGCCAAAACTCTCGAATTTATCAACTTAGTCCACAATAGATTCTTCAGGAAGAATTCATTATCAGTCGCAAGACTGAAGAAAATATAAACTACAACCGCCGTTCCAAAAAAATAGTAGGTACCATGGCACATTGTCGCCTGCATCACCTAACTTAAGACCAAGCTCAGCTACCATGCGTAATTTCTAACTAACTTGCACAAAAAGACCTGAAAAATTCGATCACTTCAAATCAGCTGCGAACAAATTAAAGCAGATTTTATACTTGTGTTATGTCAGTATCAGAGAGTCTCAGTATGTAGCCTTTGAGGGGGTGGTCAATGAGACTACTTCATCGGAAACAGTGCAAGATGTATTCGAGGTGATTTTAGTAATGTGGCATACGAGGTTTTCGAGTAGAGTTAAGTTATGAAAAGAATGTAAATAAGAGATGAGCGAGAAATGATTTATTATTCAAATGTGTAAACGTTATTGGCTCAATCTCGTATTGTAACTAGATCACAAATGTTCTCTACTTTGGTACAAACAGGAAGAGCGCCACCCTTATGTGTATAAGCGCTCACATCATCTGTAATACCTGCATATCTCCTAGACCCAAACCCCTGACTCCGTAATCCTTATTTGGCACATGACTGTTTGACTCGAGCGAACTAGGCTCAGATATGCATCTGCTCACAAAATGCAATTGTAAAGCTCATGCAGATGTTTTGAAGTTTCACAATTTAATATCTTCGTTTTAAGGGAAAAGTGATACAGATTGGCTCACTTTAATATCTTTTTTCTAAATGCCGATAGAAAAAAAGTATTAAGGAAACAATGACCCCTCAGTCATTGAGGTTCTAGAGCGCATTGATTCAAGTAACTATCGAAGTGAAAGTAAGTACAGAATTTGTAGTCATGTGTGTATCAACAACGTTTCCCACTTGATAGCCCCAAAAATTCTATATTTTGACGTGAAACAATACTTTGAATTTCGCCGACCCCGAAACCTGGAGAGCAGTCAAGTTCTATCAGAACCAAAAGTCGGATCGATGGAAAATAAGTCTCCAGGAATCGCCATTCCTACTCCACCGAAACCTGACAAGGGCCCAAAATAGTCTAGCAATTCAAATACGAAGTGAGCACATGGGGCTCAACTCGTTTTATACAGAAGAAAAGTACCCGGAGTCTACAGTCCAAGCTGTCCATGTAGCTACCAATCGCAGAGCCCCAAGCACATGATTATGTCCTGCCCCCGATGGTCAAACGGAAGAGGAGAGATCTGGAGACAAGCGAAAGATCGGTCCTACGAAGCTATGCTAAGCAATCCTGGAGATATCAAAAGGATAACACAGTGGATCCTAAATCATGGTTGGATAGAGCAATTCCAGATGACAAAGGCGGTCGAAATACTGCTGAGGGAAAGGAACAGGTCATGCCTTTTTTGTGGTTGATAAAGCTGATGTGATTGGGCTATATGGAGGGCACTATAGTGTAACTGCGCTTCCTAAAGGATACATCAGAAAAAATATAGAAATGAAACAGGAAGGTTTGGGGGGTTTTCACCAAAAGGTTTCCTCCCATGTAAATTAGAAAGTATAGCGACACCTGCATGGGCCCATAGGGCGCCAAATCAGGATAATGAAATCAAATTCAAATATTTTGAATTTATTGTCTGGTTTGCGCGGACACAAATCTACATAATACAGCCTCCAACAACAAAAGGCAGGTAATTGTGGATCTCGAAACTTGGAGAGCGGCCAAATTTTTACCAAAGTAGAAACTCTGGACAGCCAAAACTGAGTCTTAAAGACTCCCCATTTTTTCTACATCTCAACCTGACTTGGGCCCGAAGAAGTTTGGCAATGCACATTCGCATTAATCACATGGGGCTCAACTCGTTTGTTTGTGTTCTATTTTTCGTCCGTCGGGGCGTCAAGCCTGACTTAGGTCCCTACTACCCACTATACTAACTAGAGACATGGACGCCGCTGCTTACTGCCCTGGTAGCTTCACTCTTACTACTTTTTATTTCTTATTTTTTTATTCATAGTGTATTCAGCTATCTAGCTATGACACAACTCTTGCTACTTCCTAACTAGGTTTGCAGGGCAATTTTCTAATTACATGATTGCGCGTAGCGTAGCACCTGCACTTTTACAGCCAATCCCCAAGGCTCTTTACTCCTTTGATTTATTACAACCACTCTCGGGATGCTACTAATAGGTTTATTCAGAAATACCGCACCATCCATCCATAACGCATGGCTCAAAGTTGAGGCGGAGTTTAAGACCTATTTATTTCTTCACTAAGATTTCTAGGGCAGGTCTTTATGTAAAACTCAAAAGGAGAAAGCCACTTTACTACACGTAGGGCCCCTTCCCAGGTTCCTAGCAAAAATTTCTTTAGGTCCCTTGAAGATGCTGCAACTCGAGGGGGTCTGTTGGTGGTTAGGTGGCACTCGAGGAAGTGCAATGGGGCTTTGAGCTGTCCGCAGCCACAATGAAGGTTAGCGCCCTCGTGATTGAAACGGCGGTGGTAATCTGCAAAGTCACCATTTCCTGAGCGGGCAGCGTATAGTCTAGAGAGAAACGGTCTGGCTAGTGAGAGTTCCTTAGGGTGACGAGATTATAAGTCGATGGCAAGCTCCCTATAGGAAACTGGGGCATGTCGGACCCATTAATCTTTCATAGCTGTCAATACATCTGCTTTGATACGATTTTTGGCGGTATCAAAAGAAACGTACCCACGAGGTATAGGCGGGGGTTTTGAAAGTCCCTCCCGAGCAGAGGCGTCGGCCAAATCGTTACCCAATATGCCAGAGTAGCTCGGGATCCAATAAGCCTTGACTTTCCTGGGAGGGATGTGTGAGAGCCGGGTGCGAAGAGGCCAGTCTTGGGAGAGGGCTTGTATTTGTTGAAAAACAACTTGCGACGAGCAAATTGGGGACTGAAATAAAAGGCGAGCTACTTCCAGGTTATCTGTGAGTATCCAAATATTTTCTGAGAAGCGTGCTGTTGGTAGGGAAAGTGAAGCTTTGAGGGCTTCTTTCACGGCGGTCACTTCTGTGTCGAAAGGTGACAGAGTCGAGTCAAGGGACAGACTCTCACGGTAAACCATCTGGCCAGCTTGAAAGATAACGATTCTACCGCCTATCCTGGGCAATTCTGCTATCTCAGATCGAGTGCCATCTGTATAGACTTCTAGCTCTCTGAAAGGGATGCCAGAAGAGAGATTAATGGGAAGTTGCGTAACTCGCCTTACACTATTATACCGTGTCTCACTTTTGAGTCATGGCGGCTGGATCAGAGGGTCCATCGTTTCAGTGATTGGAATTTGGAGAACCCAGCCCACGAGACGGGAGACTCGTCTATTGTGTGCCTGGATCCATGTGGCTCTTTGCCGGAGTGGGTGTCTAGGGTCCAGGCGTTGGGTGCGCAGTGCCGCGAATTTTGATTTAGAGTCCAGCTCTAAATCAGGAAAGAGGAGACCTGATTCGCGGTATGTTGGAAAATCGGTATGGGCTCGATGAGTAAGGCGGCTCAAAGAATATGGGCGCGACTTTATGAATAGAATAATAATGATATGAATCGGGAGAATATGTGATATACTATGGAGAAATAAAAGATGGGTTGAATGAATCGAATTAATTAGATTATCTGTCTTGTTGATTCCTAGACAGCTTATATACCTGTAATCTTGATAGAACAAATCCAAACTAGATACCATCCATCACTCGTTACATACTCTAACAATGACAATGAATCGCACGACAGTATACAACATGAGTATGGGGTAAGGGTCGGTGGATGAAAGCCTACACGTATATCAGACCATACCATGCACTAGTCGAGTCTCAAGCATCAAACATGCTCAGTGAAGGAGATATCAATCATCTAGGTCATGAGTCAGGCTGTGAGTCGTGTGAGAATCTTAGTTGTTCCAATCATGGGGAAACTTTAGACACATAGAGTCTGAATTTCCAACACGGTACAGAATAGGGATTGGCGTAGTCCGATATATAGGTAGGATAGCTCTGGCCCCGTTAGAATAAATTTGCGGAAGGTGGATAGGTGTCCTTCGGCTCGATTCGAGATGAGTCTATTGCTGTATCTAGTGTGGCCAGGCGACCAAGTCTCTGCGCCATAGTAGGCTATGGGAAGTGTGCAAGCTAAGATGGCTTGTCGTATAAGTTGGGGGCGCTCCTCGGACGGTGTTGCTGAGAGAACGGAGTGCGTTGGCAACTTTAAAAGCCTTCTCAGCTAGTATACGGACATGCCATTTAAATGAGATGGTTCGATCAAAGTGGACCCCTAGCCAGCGCGTGTAGGGTTTATTTGGATCTTCAGAGACCCTTATATCTCTGTGGGAGACGGAGTGGGTTGACAAAGGGTCGCGGTCAGCCCGATTTCGAGAGAAGTGTTGTAGCTCCGATTTTTCTGGGTCGAAAGTAATGCTTTCCATTTTCCCCCACTTTATTGCTTCCGCCGGCGAGTGAGAGAGAGCTGTACAATTACTCAGGAGGTTAGGCCCTATCTTAAGGAGAGCAACATCGTCTGCATAGCTGAAGGGCTTAACTCGTATCTACTCAGAAGAAAAGTACCTGGGGTTTTAAGTCCAAGCTGTCCATATGACTACCCATCGCAGACCGCCAAGCACATGATTATGCCCTGCCTTCGATGACTAAACTGAAAAGGAGAGTTTGGGGTAAAACCAAAGA